AGACATTGGGGTGGGTGGGGGGGAAGAGGCTCCAGCGAGCCCGCGACCCTCGTGATGATATGCAGTTTGGAGAATGGATGGGTGGAGTTACTTTTTCAAGGCAAATATTCCAAAGCTGTTAATGGCGACACCGGGGATCATTTGGACTTCTGGGAAGAACACGGAAAGTCTCCTTTTTCTGTGGATTCCGTCGTTCCATGATCCGCACGTCCACCGCGCAAAGCAGATCAGATGAGAGGGTCAAAAGAGACTTACGAGTTGACACACAGCACCACGATGTTTTTCCACAGGTTCCTGGTGCTCATCATCTTCACGATGCAGGTCCGCTGAGGTTTCTTGTGCAGCTCCTGCTCCAGCTCTGCTGGAAAACATGACACACCGGCGCCTTGAGACGCCTTCGCGAGACTATTGTCATGTCATGACTTGAAATACAAACAGGATGCCATCACGGCTGTGTTTCTGCTCCAACTGTACTGCGTTTTACTACCTTCCTGACTTTGTTACAGTATATCTGGAATGTAATTTTTTTCATGTCCCACAGAAAGTTTGGGGATTTTTGTCAGTGCATTCCAAAGAAAGAAAAAAAAAAGTATGACAGAGAAAGATGAAAAAAATGGAGATATTTTTCACCTGAAAGAACTCTGCTAGGTTCAGTCGCCATGTCAACTTGGTTCCTTCTTGCAATGCGCAGCATCATAGCTTTAGAGCGTCTGTAGTGCTGGGTGGTCAACAGCCAGCGGAACGATTCAGGAAAAATCCTGCAATCGCAAATATGTGCAAAACAGCAATGATGTCAAAGGTCACCTTTTGCCAACGCGACAAGATTGCCCTCTGCAATGTGTGCGTTGTCCCGAGAAAGAGTTTCGATGAACTCACCACACGTAGGGCAGCATCAACACGAAAGGACTGATGATTACGATCTGCAGGACCTGCCAGTCATCTCGGTCCGGCCAATTGCGGCATAAAGCGGCCACCCCGGGCATCAGTAGCTGCCCTCCGACCATCAGGAAACTGGCCACCATGGTCATGGAGAAACGCCAGGCCGGCAAGCAAAGCTCGACCCCTAAAATGAAGAGAGCAGGAAAAAAAATAATGTGGAACAGGAAAAAAAATACCAATTAAAAAAAATCTGTGGACAAAAAAATGCCTTGAAGCTTTTCGACAGCTAAAAAAAATATCAAGAGGGGTAGCTGCATTTTTTTTTACGTGCGTGTCTATGGCAATGCTAAGCTAGGAGTGTGGATGTATGTCAAGGAAACCGATTTGCAATTACGACAACGGAACTGGGAATGACAAAAGAAAAGGTCTTTTTCTTCTAATGTTCTGTCTTGCTGGAACACATTTTGGCATTGACGAAAAAGTCAACCTCAAGAAAACTGGTTGAGAAACGTTACGACTTCATTTCAATGTCCACGTATTGCCTTTGATGGGAGCTTGGCCCCTTCCAACATGGTTGCCATTTTGGCATCTTGGTTAGCACATCGTCTTGGAAGACGTTTCGCTGCTCGTCTGAGTCTGCTTCATCAGCTCATGCGACAAACACTCAAATTCTCTGAGAACAAGTATTACCACTTCCATTGGAGTACTCGCCGTTCCGTAAGTATCAGCACTTGAGAGTGCCTTTTCTTCTTGCAATTGTGATTTTAATCAAATGTAGAGAGTCACAGGCATGACATTTGGAAAAAAAAAAAAAACAACTTTGTGCACATGCTGTAACAAAAAAATAAAATCAAACGCCCAAGTCCCTGTGGTGGTTTCAACTGCCGCCAGCTCCATTGGGATATTGCACCCACTCGAACACACTCAACCCACACAACAATGGCACAGACCTTTTGTTCTGAGAGGCAGAATGGTCGTAGTTGTGCTGATTATGTCAGTGCCCCCCCTCACCGCCCGCACACCCTGCGTATGGGCTCATCCTGGTATCGCCTCGCTCTCATGCCGACCGCTGCCTGTTCTTAGCACTTAAATGTCTCACCCCATCCCTCATAATTACTCCTCCTCCTCCTCCCCCTTTTTCCTCCCGATTCATTCACCAGGGCCTCCCCTGTCTTGGCAAATGAAACAAACAGTTGGCGAAAGTGTGAGTGAGAATTGGGGCCACGTGCGCTGACTTTGTGTCAGTTGTTACTCGCTGGCGGACTTCGCCGGAAGCACGAGAACGGCCTTCAGGAGACAGCTCACCACTGTCGTACGACGGAGCTGTCCAGAGATGCGTAGAGGGGTCACGATTTAATACAGGATTTAACCAGTAGGGGGCAGCATTAGAGTCAGATTTGAATGGGGACGTGAAAGGCTTTCTCTCTTGGAGCACAACTCTCTGACAGTAGGTGAGTTGAAATGAGAATGATCGCCACAGAGCACGGTGGCCCCAAGATAAGTTGAAAAACAAACACGGGGAGGAACAGCTCCCACCGGGATGGCCCTGCAAGGTGCTCTGCTCTATGAGCACCTGATAAACACGTCCCAAATGGCCGCCACGCGCAAATATGCGCAGAGTACCCCAGACCGCATCGGCATATTTGGGTCGATGAGACTTTATTGTGGACTGCATGCTGCGGCGAGATAACCAAATGATGAAAGCTTTGAAAGGAAGCTCCGGAAAATAAGCGAGCGCGTGTGTGCTAATAATAACATGGTTGAGCGGGGAAAAGAGAAGGCAATGAATCTGAGGGAGGGGGCTGGAGAAGGAAGATTTCAGTGAAAATAGATTTCAAATTAGGATTGGGTGTTTCTGTTGGGAGAAACAATGGAATGAGGTTGTCAAATGAGGGAGAGCAAACCGTTTGGGTGTTTACATGGCTGCAATAACAACGCAAAAGACTCTGTTCTAATTAAGGCCTGAATGCGGTGATGGTGTCAACATGAGTTGTCGAGGAAATACTGCATTCTGTTATGCAATTTGCACGTTGCAGCACACAGTGGGTGAACATTTCGTCACCTTTCACCAAGTGATAAACCAGCTGAAAATGCAAACGTAGCACCGGTGCTCAAGTTGGTCAGCAAGTGATCAAAAACAAAAATAGTCATTGTTCTCTTCAAGAATCTCATATGTGCTTTCCTCAAAGAAGAACATCGGCACAGATGGACAAAGTGGTGCGCAAAAAGCTTGTCGTGTTTTGTACTATTTGTGTTTTTTAGTGATGGACTGTCATCTGAGATGAGGCAGACTGCCCGCTGCCTCACTTCACATCATGCCCATGTAGTTGAACATGAAATTCCCAAATTCAGCATTTTGACTTTGAAATGATGATTGGATTCAAAGCGAAACAGAGCACACAGAGCATAGGAATAAAATTTTGATCTAATCATTTACTGGTTTTAGTCTTTGTGAGCTAGGTGAGGCTTTACTTCCCTGGCCTCCCCTAACCGCACGTCGCAGTGCCAGTCAATCACAGAGCATGTAATAGACAAGCACTGACACTGTGGGATTGAAAGCATGCTGGCGAGACAGAAGTCAGGCAAAAAAACAAACAAAAAAAAAAAAAAACAAGGCTATATTTGAATAGAAGGTCAGGGTAAAAAAAAAAAAAAAACAAAGACCCCCCCCCCAAAAACAAAAACAAGACCATATTTGAATAGAAATGATCACACTATATTTTGTTCCGCTCTTCCTTCCCATCCCAGTGCACATCCTGCATGAACGATCACAGAGGCAAAACGGAAACGCGTCGGTGAGGCGACAGAGCCAAAAAGCAGACAGGTGTCAAAGGCGTGTACTTACTGAGCACGTAGAGAGAGAGAGCGAGGCCCGCCAAGCAGAAACCCTCAAAGAAGCGCAAGGTGCTGAACATGGTGACATTTATAGAGAAGGCAACACTCAAACCAAACACCAGCATGAAGAGCACAGAGAGAATCAACACCGGGTGTCGACCGAACCTTGGAAGCAGAGAGAAGAAGAAAAACAAAGTCGAGACAAAGTGTTGAAAAACGGCCACCGAGCGCCAACGGAAGCTAATTGCTTGGCAACGAGGCAAATACGGGCCATTGTTTGCACCAGACTATGCGGACTTCCTAGTTTGGGGGCAGGAGGGTACTTTTGGTCAGTAGGTCAAGTGAAGCTATTTCTTTACATGGTTTCCATAGTTACTGATCCAAGACACAATGTGTTCCCCCCCCCGCGAGGCAACTCAGCTGGCGCTCTGGGTGCAGACCAGGCAAGTGCACGCAATTATTTGACAGAAAGGGCCAGTTCACTTTCCGCTGGAATCAAATCTAACGCAGGGATGAACTATGGAATCAAAAGCAAATGAAACAGCAATTTTCTCTGCATTTTTTTTTTTGGGGCTTTCAAACCAAAGTCTTGACAACTCAAGAAGAAATTTGATGTATTCATCTGACTACACGTAAATTATTGTCTTCTAATCGATTTTCATATTTGGCACTTTGACCTCCAGCTGGTTCAGCAGATCTCGCTGAGTCAACGGGACAATATCCCATCTCCCAATTTGACTATCATTTCCTGGGCTCGAAATACTTGGGGGGGCTTTTGTCATTTAGATGCCAACTATTCATTCCTAATTAATACAAGCTTTTGTCATGTAAAAGAGAGAGAAAAAAAAGAAAAGCAACGGACAGGAAAGGAACATACCAGTCGGCCATCACACCCATCACTAGGTAGCCAAATATTGAGCCCACGAGCAATGAAAATTTGGCAATATGGACCTTCCAGGCTGAGTCACACACCAGGTTCCACTGTCAACACACACAAAGCAAAAACAAAAACAGATCAGAGAGGACACTTTTCAGGTTTAGAGTACAACAAGCATCCATTTCAAAACGGACAATCAATTTCTAAAGCGTTTCATGTCAAATCCAATGACAACGCAGTTGAAAATATATTACGATGGCCGGGAGTATAGGAAAACATTTGGATAACATTTCTGAATTGAACATGTTCAAAATTGAGAAAGAACACACGAAGCGGCGCTCGCCTTGTGAACGTCACACAAGGACGCGAGTGTAGAAAACAATAAAAGAAAGAAAGAAAGAACTGTGTGTGAAATGAGTGTTGGTCTTGAACAGAGATTTACACACGACGCCACCGACCGCGGCCAAGCAGCGACGGAGACGCAAATGGGGGGAGTCAGTCAAAGGCTGACACTTGGGACAATTTGTTTGTATTTTCCATCGGTTTTATGCCGCAGACGATGATAACACCCGTTTCGGTGCCAGGAAAGTTTCAACGGTTTGAGGTCATTTTGCTCTGCTGAGCTTGACATTGTTTGGCCAACTGGGGATGAGGTTTGATCGTCTTCATCTTTACATCAATTGTACACAAATCACTGCGGTCATTCAAGTCATTCTCAAGTCTCATTGCAGGAGGTTCTCGGGTCATCCGACAAGCAAAATACTGCGAAAAAAACATACTCCTGCAATATGCAAATAGTGCAGATAAGCACATCCTATCAGGGCGCGCGCGCGCACACACTCTCGAGCTCGGATTGAGGTCAGTGGGTGAGCGCCGTTTGTATTTGTATCGGATGCTACTTTCGCCTTGGCACAAGGCAGTGACGATGAAGCCCTGTCACGGTCGACAGAAATGATTTTTTTTTCCCCCTTCCCCCGCTCGAATTTGGGGTGCTCTCTCGTTACCTTGGTAACCACATTCTGGCTAAGTCCCGTGTGCAGCTCCAGTGTCCTCTCCTCGCAGGCGCATGGCAGACCGTCGCCGTCGCCGTCTTCAGCCCCGGTGCCGTTGACTTGCGGCTGAAGCGCCGGCACGTCGTCGGTGCCGCCGAGCGGGTTGGGCGCCGAGGTCCACTGGCTGCCGTTCGCCGAAGGTTGCAAACATGTGCCGTTGGGCTGCGCCAGGAGGAAATAATCCGAGAACTGGCTAAAGCCGATGAACAATGCCGGGATCCAGGTCAGGACGACGAGCTGCTTCTGGTGCCTGCCGAACCCCCCGAGGGACGGCAGAACCGAGGCGTCGACGTGCGGCAGCAGCCTCGGCGCCGGCTGATCGAGCGGCGCGAAGCCGTTCTCGGGCGGCTGCGGGCGACCGGCTGCCATCGCTGCCCGGCCCCACGGAGCAGCTGGCCGCGACAGCCGGCTGCAGGGCAAAGCCCCCCCCCCCGCCCCCCCTTCTCTCTCTCTCTCTTCAAGCCCCGTCGGACACAAAAGGGGCTCACGTCGCAGAACAATCCGGATCGTAGCAAAAGCAACAACAACAACAACAAAAAGACCCCCTCCCACCCCCACCCCAAATAAAGCGGGTCTGTGGCGTAAGCGCGAATCACATTGCAGTTGTCCTCGTGTCCTCCGCGAGGGGTCCTGAAGCCAAGTCCGGGTGCGGAGGTTGTTTCAGAACGCCGGGGGGAATCTCCCTGAGAGGAACGGGCTGCTCGGGCGAGCACGGGCTTTGTGTTCCGCGCGTGCACTTCCCACGGTGGTGGGATCCATCCACGTGGAGCGGATCTGGGCCAGCCGGGCCTGCGTGGAAGGGGAAGGGAGAGAATTTCATCTAAACATTTGCTGCGAGGTCATCCGCGCGCGCCACAACAGGTCTCGTTCGAAGCCGAAGCGCGAGGCCAGTTCTGGGGGTCTTCAAGTGCAAAACTGCATCCGGGCTCCCTCCCATCGCCGGTTCGACGCCGCTTTGATGCGCTGTGGGGGGGTGGTGTCGTCAGCGGGAGACTGGGCCGAAGGGGGTCGCAGAAATCGGGAGGAGGGGGGCGGGGTTGTGGTGCGATGTGGGGGTGGGGGCTTAAACCCGCCCTTCCCCGGTCGCGCTACGCTCTGCCGTCGGAGTGTCTGCAAAAGGCGACTGCACCAGTGGCGAGCAATCTCCAGGCAACAACGATCTCCTTTGTGCGGCTTCTTCCTCGAAAAGCGGACAAAAATCCTCCAAGGCAGGCGCGTCGCACATTTATTTCCGACCGCTGCTTTTAACGTACACACGGAGGGATTTGTGTGCGTGTGCAGTTCCTTTACCTTTGTAGCAATATTTACTGGTTTGAGAAGACAATAGAGCGTTCGCGGTTAGGGGGCGGGCGAGTGGGGTGTGACGGTGTTTGGCCGCGCGGGGGCGACAAAGTATCACAAAATTCACGTACTTCCCGGCGTCGTTTTCGGCACCGACGAGATGTCGGTTGCTTCACTCTGGGAGAGCATTTCTGCTGGCTCGCTACAAGGTCACACGGCACCGGAGAGAGAGCTTGGAATGGAGTGAGAGGGACTGCAGCTGGTCCTCATGACTGATTGTGTGCGTGTGTGTGGGGGGTGTGGGTGGGGGGCGTAACCTTGAGATTCCAACAGGAACGCAATAGAACGCAAGGACGGCTGCACGTTTATCCAACTCTTTGCAAACGAAAAGTTGTTTGAATGCAAACGTCATTTGGTTGCCTGAATCTAACGTCGTCCTCTTCATGCTCAGATGCTATGCAAGTAAGAGTGGGGAGGAGGAGGAGGGGGAGGAGAGGGGGGGGCGGCTGAGGATAAACTAACTATGTGTGTGTCATCTGCCAGCCACACCCATAGAACACATAGCAGAGCGGGCATTCCTGTTGCTTCGAAGAGAAAGTGACCCCACCTTAAAATTCTACTGAGCACGTATTATAATGTCATGCCCGAGGACATGTGATCATGTCCGCCATGTCCAAGTCCTTCGAAGATTGAACTGGTCAAGCGGTAGCAGTCCAAATAATAGAACTGGTTGTTTTTATGCAAGTGGCACCGGATAGTGACTACAGTAGAGAGGTTGGGATTTTGTAGCACAGCCGCAAACACGTCTTTCATTGGGGATGCGGGAATCTCCTGACCACTTTTACGTTGAATGCTCTTGTTACTTATTCCACTCGGCCAGCAGAAACAATTTCTGCTTTCGAAGAGATGGACTGGTCAGTATGAACCAAAGTAGGCGGAGACCAGTGCTTGATGTCACACTTTTTGCACTTTGAGATCATTCTCGGAATCCATGGGCCACACATAAACAAAATGCATGCCAGATAAAAGCCCAAAGTCTCAGGTCTATATTTCGTATTCATCCCATTCCCATGTGACGTACCAGTGCTGAGTTATAAGCAATCAAATTTGAGGCTCAGATCAAATGCAAGCGTCGTTTCATGCGGCTAGACGGCTCGTTCCTGCCTGTGTCGCTGAAGTTTTCCCAGTATCAGTTGTTGGCGTCAGACCGGTGACCCAGACAAGCTCGGGTATCATTCAACGACTCTCTTTGCATTCAAGCTCTCCCTCCCCCTCCGCCAGTCGACATCCCAAGAGGCGTATCCATGTCACCTTGCTGCACAGGTGCGCCGGCGCCACAGGACCAGCTGCCTGCTCACCCGCAGTCCACACCGAGGACGCATTTGCGATTCACGGCCACGTTTCAAAACCGGAGCCTGCGACCGCTTTCGAAAGAACCTTTTATCGTGCGCGCCCTGCGAATGGCTGGTAACCCGTTGGGGGTGTCCCCCGCCTACTCCCCAAAGACGGCTCGCCGGCCCGCCTGCGACCCTCCTGAGCAGAAGCGGCTTCGAAAATAGATGGGTGCAAAATCACTTCCATGTTGATGGTGAGCACAGAGGCTCCCAGTAAGGCCACACCGAGTGAGCTCCACACAGACTCTGAGGAAAGTGCATTCAGTGTCATGAAGGCCAGCTCTCAGTCCCTCTCACATGCAGGTATAAAGCACTCACTTTTATTCTTTCGCCTCCTCTGACTGCACCACAATGGGCTCTTTATAACCTGCCATCAGCGCATATGAGCAAAAGGCCCTTTTTCTTTTGTTCAGATGCACCTTTGACTGGTTTACTGCAGGGGTGTCCAAACGTATTCGTGGAGGGCCGCCTGCAGAAAAATGCAAGGATGAAAGGGCCACTTGAAAGTCATTCAAGAAAGCAATTCAAATGTTTGGATTGATCATCAGCTTTCCGTTCAAGGTCTTGAGGCAACGACCAATAGTTGTAGAGGATTTTTCTGGGGTGGCCAAGAGCCTTTCTGTCTCACAGACTAGATCCGGCTCTGCACCGAACAGCAGCCGAATCCCATGTCCACCTTCAGAACCCCAAAAAAGAGCAAACTGTAAACTATTTTTGCCTCTAAAATGGAATTCTCTTTCTTCACTACAGTGTTTTGAAGATAAATGGTGTTTTTGTTCGAATCACAAATAGTTTATTTGTACCTCCCAAAACAGAGAAAAGTTCGGCAGCACATCCATTTTTTTTTGTGTAATGGCACCTCTTTTTCTGACAGCCTCCCTTCTCACTCCGCCCGTTGACACCTTTTTAATTAATAGTGCGCGCTAAAACGTCAGGTACGGAGCTATGTTTTATCAAGTTCCGCCCGGGAAGCTGTCAAAACAGGTTATCTAACTTGACGGACGCCGAGGAATGCCTCTTCAAAATCATTTGTCGTATGACGAGGCTGGCTTCGGCCAGAGAGTTTTTGATTAAAGAGCCGTCACAAAAGTGTCGACGAGCTGGGCCACATGCTATTTGACAGTAAATGAAGACTTCACTGAAGCTACCCACAGTCTACCCCCACGCCCCCCCCCCAAAAAAAAAATAAATAAAAGAAATCACAATTTTACAGTCCAGAAATTCAAGTTGTAATCTCTTTCGGGTTGGTTGCTTGAATTGGCGTCAACCTACGCCAGCGTTCGTAATCCCCGAAATGGGTGTGAATGTGAGTGCGGATGGCTGCTTGTCTTGCATGTGCCACGAAAGTGGATTTAGGGACGGGTGCAGCAGCAGGCTGAGGTGCACACGTTGCGGGAACCCCCCCACGTGCATCAGAACAAAAACTGCCTGGCTTCTGTTCACCTTGCAGCCATCAACGACGCGGCCCGAGCGTCGCAAATCTTGAAATTAGCTTCAATGCGCATCATACAGCACTTGAGTGACTTTTGACTGTTGTGCGTACACACGCACGGTGGTTCCCGTCGAAGTCAGTCACCGTGACAGGTTTCTGCTCTTCCCTGCCCCGACATCTCTCATTCCTGAAAAGCCACACCCTGAACAAGGCAATTACCTCCAGCGCTCAATGTCACCTTTGCCAAATCACTGAAAACTTTCCCCCCTGGCACAGCAGGTTGGCAATGCGTGCGAGCTGACATGATCATTTTTGTCACACCATAGAAAGAAAAACAAACAGGAACAAAAAATGCACCAACAATGAAGCGACAGGGACAGCCCACAACCCCCCCCCCCCCCCCGAAACATAAACACTGATGAGACACAGATTAAGAAAGAAAGAAGTGGCCAAGGGAGCTGATTGGACGACACGGCGGGCCGGTTTAACAAGCACACAATAAGCAAACGAGACATCCCTCCGTTTTCTGATCTGTTTCTTCTCAGGAGGGTCGCGGGCATGCCGGAGCCTGTCCCAGCTGTCTTCGGGCACTGGGTGGGGGGGGGGGGGGCACCCTGAACCGGTTGCCAGCCATTCGCAGGGCACACATAGACAAACAACCATCCGCGCTCACTTTCACAGTTCGGGACAATTTCGAATGTTCCATTCATCTGCCGTGCATGTTTTTTGGAATGTGGCAGGAAAGTGGAGAAAAGCCGCGCAGGCACGGGGAGAACATGCAAACTCCGCACAGAAAGGTCAGAATCGAACCCTGCACCTCTGAACTGTGAAGTCGACATATGAACCGGTCGACCGCCATGCCGCCTCAAATGAGACAGACAAAAAAAAAAAAAACAAGTCTCATCGTAAATGGCGCAGTCGAGTAATTGATTGGTGCACGCAAGTCTGATCCTGTCTCTTGGATGCAGGAATGAAAGGAAGCTGCACGCCAAAACCTTGCCGGCAGCAAAATCCACCACCACAACGTGCTCATGCAGACTCGTTCAAATGGAGAAGGATCACCAGTGCCGCAAAACGGAGCACACGGTGTCGTTTTGAAGAAGGCCCAGCTGCAGTGGAATGCTGCTCTGCAAACGGCGCTTTCTGTGCGAGTACGCCGGAGAGCTAAAAGGGAGTTCTTCCGTATCATCTGCCGCGGGGCAAAACTTCACGGCAATATGGGCCTCCACTTGACTATGAGAAATGTGTTGCTAGTGTTTTTTTTTTTGTTTGTTTTTTGTGTGTGTGTGTGTGTGTGTGTGTGTTTATGAATTGCTTGCTGCACGAAGGCATTAATGCAAATGTCAAGCTCAACGCAGCTTGCTCAATAAAGCAGCCACATGGAAGAGTTGTGATGGAAAAGTGAGTTGGAAATATAATCGTGCACTTTGCCGTTTATATCAAGAATGCTTGTCTGGAGTGCAGGTCCAGACGTAACTTATGATCGCACTCTTTGAACACACACACACACACAC